GTGTTTTTTTAAGGGCAAGGGGGAATAACATTTGTAGGAGTGAGGAAGAGCCAGTTGTGAGTGTGGGGGAGTTCGTGAGGCAGTAGGTAAAATGAAAGGGGGTAAGGCAGCCGGGATTGATGGGATAAAGATAGAAATGTTAAAAGCAGGTGGGGATATTTAATAAATGTATGGAAGAGGGTAAGGTGCCTAGGGATTGTCAGAGAGCATGCATAGTTCCTTTGTATAAAGGCAAAGGGGATAAAAGAGAGTGCAAAAATTATAGGGGGATAAGTCTGTTGAGTGTACCTGGTTTAAAGTGTATGGTAGAGTTATAATTGAAAGAATTAAGAATAAGACGGAGAATAGGATAGCAGATGAACAAGGAGGCTTTAGGAAAGGTAGGGGGTGTGGTGGACCAGGTGTTTACAGTGAAACATATAAGTGAACAGTATTTTAGATAAGGCTAAAGAGGTCTTTGTGGCATTTATGGATTTGGAAAAGGGTGTATGACAGGGTGGATAGGGGGGCAATGGGGCAGATGTTGCAAGTGTATGGTGTAGGAGGTAGGTTACTGAAAGCAGTGAAGAGTTTTTACGAGGATAGTGAGGCTCAAGCTAGAGTATGTAGGAAAGAGGGAAATTTTTTCCCAGTAAAAGTAGGCCTTAGACAAGGATGTGTGATGTCACCGTGGTTTTTTAAATATATTTATAGATGGGGTTGTAAGAGAAGTAAATGCGAGGGTCTTGGCAAGAGGCGTGGAGTTAAAAGATAAAGAATCACACACAAAGTGGGAGTTGTCACAGCTGCTCTTTGCTGATGACACTGTGCTCTTGGGAGATTCTGAAGAGAAGTTGCAGAGATTGGTGGATGAATTTGGTAGGGTGTGCAAAAGAAGAAATTAAAGGTGAATACAGGAAAGAGTAAGGTTATGAGGATAACAAAAAGATTAGGTGATGAAAGATTGAATATCAGATTGGAGGGAGAGTATGGAGGAGGTGAATGTATTCAGATATTTGGGAGTGGACGTGTCAGCGGATGGGTCTATGAAAGATGAGGTGAATCATAGAATTGATGAGGGAAAAAGAGTGAGTGGTGCACTTAGGAGTCTGTGGAGACAAAAAAACTTTGTCCTTGGAGGCAAAGAGGGGAATGTATGAGAGTATAGTTTTACCAACGCTCTTATATGGGTGTGAAGCGTGGGTGATGAATGTTGCAGCGAGGAGAAGGCTGGAGGCAGTGGAGATGTCATGTCTGAGGGCAATGTGTGGTGTGAATATAATGCAGAGAATTCGTAGTTTGGAAGTTAGGAGGAGGTGGGGGGATTACCAAAACTGTTGTCCAGAGGCTGAGGAAGGGTTGTTGAGGTGGTTCGGACATGTAGAGAGAATGGAGCGAAACAGAATGACTTCAAGAGTGTATCAGTCTGTAGTGGAAGGAAGGCGGGGTAGGGGTCAGCCTAGGAAAGGTTGGAGGGAGGGGGTAAAGGAGGTTTTGTGTGCGAGGGGCTTGGACTTCCAACAGGCATGCGTGAGTGTGTTTGATAGGAGTGAATGGAGACAAATGGTTTTTAATGCTTGAAGTGCTGTTGGAGCGTGAGCAAAGGCACATTTATGAAGGGATTCAGGGAAACCGGCAGGCCGGACTTGAGTCCTGGAGATGGGAAGTACAGTGCCTGCACTCTGAAGGAGGGGTGTTAATGTTGCAGTTTAAAAACTGTAGTGTAAAGCACCCTTCTGGCAAGACAGTGATGGAGTGAATGATGGTGAAAGTTTTTCTTTTTCGGGCCACCCTGCCTTGGTGGGAATCGGCCAGTGTGATAATAAATATAAAAAAAATAATGAATTTTTATTCAAACCAAAAAATAGAAGATTTACTGTTATGCAATATTGTAATAATTGTATAAATGTCATCACCACATTTGTGAATGTATATTAGACCCACCAGCTGGCATGTATTAGACGTGTGAGGTCGCTTGTTTACTCTTGAACATCGGCAAAAATTTAACATTTCCACTACTTTGAGCTCAGTTTCAAGCCATTTCCAGTACTAAAACCAATCAAAATCATCTCTATGTCTGTAATATATCTTCCATTCTATCAAATGAGACAAAGAAATCACAAATACAACTATAAAAACATACAAAAAATACTGCAAAGTCGCTGTTTTAATCGAAAATCATGGTCTCAGTTTTTTTCTCATTATACACTGTGTGCTGCAGGATTTATTTTATGTGGTGCACACATACCACATAGATGTATTCTCTCATATCTAGGCCCAAATTTACCACTCACAGCTTATCAGAGTGAGCTGAGCTCATGGCGTAGCTCTACGGTTTGGACCCTCAATGTAAAGCTGTAGATCTATGGCACGGACCCTGAAAGGGTTAAATTAAAACATTATGGGGTCAGAGGACATTCAGGTGGCTTGATAGTATACAGGCAAATTAGCCTACTGATACTACCTGTAGTAGTCCATTCAACTCCACCTTGTTTACTTTAGCCTACCAATGCTAAGTGCCAACGAATTTTTATGATTTATGATTACCGTATTTCACGGCTTACGAGACGTGAAATACTGGACTTGTTTTGGTTTCAATGGCTCGGCATCAGATGCAACTGGGAGAGCTACAGCCCACCCCACACCCCATACTTACAGTTCCCGTCACTGACCTTCAGTTTATAAGATGCAGGCTGGTTTCTGGAGACATTTTATGGAAAAAATGTGTCTAATAGGCTGAAAAATATGGTATTTTAGTTATTTATTCTGTATTTATAAAAAATAGTTTACACAATTCATTATTGGGTCATAAATAGAGTTTTTTTTATTGTTGTAATGAAACCTGCTTGGGGTTTTAGGTTTGGGGGCCCCCCCCCCCAAATGAGCAACTTAATTTTCCCAGCCTCAAAAGTTTGGCAGGGGGTAAATTTTTTAGACTTTTTTTGGGGAAAAAAAACAGCATCTTTGACCCCTTAAAAAAGGGTTATGTAGGGAATATATGTATGAAATACATGTGATAAATGCATGTGCATGTAACTTTTTAAAGAGAAAAGACACAGGAAACACTGGGTATCTTTTTGTCAAAATTTTGCCCCCTATTTGGGCTTGTTAGAAGTAACTAAACTTGGGGGGGACACAAAAGCAGTGGTAAAATAAAAATGAAATCAGTCAGTAAAAGTTTTTGAGGTGGTCATTTCCTCAGCCGGGTGAAGAAACACCACAATATTTTGGAACAATATAAGCTGAACAAAAAAATTGTGCCCAGTAGTGTTACGGGAATTCCTATGTAAAAAATACAGAAAAGGCCCTATTTTTTGGCTTTTTCCCTTTTTGGGCTTTTCGCTAATAGGGCCCGATGTAAAATTATGCCCAAAATTTTGCAAAAACCGGCAAGGGGTTTTTTTAAAAAAGGGGCCCCCCACCCGGTTTTGTTTACATTTTCTGTGACCACATTTTTATGCCCGGGAAATTTTTTCCAAAATTTAGTGTTTTAAATTACTGATATTTTTTTATGAAACTCTGAAAATTATACTTATGTGTACCTGAACTTAAATATATTTTACACCTGTGCTGGGTGCATTTTACACATTTAAAATTCGCTAAGTCTCTCTCTACTCATAAACCCCAATACTACGAAATAAAAAACACTTTTGGGGGCACATTTAAATGTTTATTTCCCATAAATATAGGCTTTTTCATTAATCCACCAAATGATATTTCCTAAAAATTAATATGAAACCCTTTACATAGCATAAACATGATACATACACCCCGAATAAAAAATTGATGTAAAAATGAATTTGTTTAAAAAGCTGTGTAATTTTATTTGTCGGAAAAATTTAAACGTTTTTCTGGGAAAAAACACTGGGGGTTTACTGTAGAAAAATATTTTTTTTTGTATGCCTTTACAAAAGAAAAGGCAACCCACGCCCCCTTGGGGGTTTTTAGTGTTTTTATAATTAATAATAATAATAATAAATTATTTTTAAAAAATTAATAATAAAAAATAATATTTTTAAATTAATAAAAATTATTTTCCCTTTCCCACTCAAAAAATGGTTTTTGGGGCTGTTTGTTTATTCTAAAAAAAAACTTTTTACAACTTGTACAAAATTAAGAGTTTTTGGTACTGTGAGGAAATTTTATTTTTAAAAAAAAATTTTATTGAGGAAAATGTTTTACAAACCCCCTTACAAATGGAACCCATGAATGAACAAAAAGTAACACATATTAAAACGCATTTCGCCCTGACCAAGTGATCGCCATACCCTTTCAGTTTGTGTTCTTACATTTCTAAACTCTGAAATTCGTTCTCTTCTCGTTTCCCTCTTTTTTAAAATTTTTTAGCTCTCATGACGAGGGCCCCTTTCAAAGGTTAGCTGTAAAAAAAAGGAAGTGTAAGCCTCTTGTTTTAAAGTGCCAATTAGGGAAATGATGGGGGCATTTTGATTTTTCCCTTTAAACCCCCGGCCACCCCACCTTCCCCAACATAAAAAATTTTTTTTTTAAGGTAAGT